GGAGAAATGGAATACTGGTGTGTATTTGTTTCTTTAAAGTACCAAGACCAGCTATATACTGTATGTTTATGTTCCAAAATTAATATCGTTTATGGCCTTCACACCCGTTACAGTATGCTCCTATTCTTTTTATACTCAGCTACTAAGATTTCCCTTCAGTGGTAAAATTCAATATCTACAATGGCCACAGTAAAGACGTTAACTGTACAGTAAGTCTTTCTACGACAGACCAACAGACCACAAGTGCCCCTGTCGGTCAACCAATCATGTACCGCGGTACCCCGCGTCATCTTACGTCATGATTCGCGACACCGCAGCCAATTACCTGCGGTACGTGTCTGTACCGCTCACTTTGAATGGCTGCATCTGTATATATATTTATTTATTAATTTTACTGCATTTTTTTAAACTATGAAGGACAGTGTACAGTGTAGTAATTCCAACTGAAAATGAAGGATTTTACAGCAAGGTCAGGATACTAAATATGAATACCACACACACTGTAATCTTTTGTATAAAATTAGAATAAAATTTCAGAAATTTTGATTTTTCTTGTTATGAAAGATTAATATCTTCTCTGACAGTATGTCCATCTTCTGGGTTAAAAAGATATCTGGTCTGTTAGATTTTCTCTTTAGCTCATTTCCCTGCTTTTACAGCTATTTTGTGGGTATGAGACTTATGTTTTCCGCAATTTAAATGCATTTTGGTTAATCTAAAGCCATGATATAAAGGTATGATACATAGAACTGAAGGAATGAAAATGCAAGAGTATAAGTGTGGCAACAATAACTCATTTGGCACATGTATAATTTTATTTCTGTTTAATAATATACTTGGTTTAAACATTACTGAGCTTGAGTGATATGATGTCAGTCAGAGAGGACTTATTCCCAGTCTCAGCACTGTCTATTTGAGAGCTTAATATTAGAGATTCAGTAATAAAACAAGATATATGTCAAAGGGAAAAGTCTCATTAACCCATTATATACAGTATACTGTATACAATGTAAAAAAAGACAAATGCACTTAGTGTCCCAGTGGTGAGTTTTTTAACATGTCCACTTAAAACCAAATGGATGTTCTAATAAGAAAACAGAGGTGTCTTATTAGCTCTCAGAAAATGTTGTCGTTGTACAAAGTACCTCCAGACAGGTGTCCTAAGGTAGGTTAGATTTGTCTGCATCCAGCCTCCTTTGCTGGCAAATACCAATTCACTTTCATGCTCTTACTTTCCAAAACAATCAATCACTTCCTGCTTCCAAAACTTGTTTACTCTCCCCTTTTGTCTCATTACTCCCTATTTTTATGAATGCACCCACCTGGATTTTAAGAGCCTTAAAGGCAATTAATTGACGACTACAAAATCATAACACCACCCACTCACTTTATAGCTTTTGATCTTTCAAAACACACAGTACCTTGATAAAGTTCTGGGACTGATGAGGTGTTAACAGCCTAATGACAATTATTGTCTCCTCCACTTTGTAACCTTTCACATTTTAGTAAAAAAATGTCAACTTCATACAATAGCAATTTCATTGTGTAGTTAATTGTGATTGTATTTTACTCTAAATTGAATATGTTATGATTAACAACATACTTCAGTTTCCAGTTTTTTTGCAGCATAACTCTTTTTGTCTCATTTTTTTGTTCATAGGGATCTCAGTATGAACAACATCAGTATGCTGCAGCCGAATGCATTCCATTATCTTCACTTTTTAGCGGAGCTGTAAGTATCGAAAAGCGGATTTGCATCATCCAGAAATATTTCTCACAAGTTTCTATTAATCTACCGCATTTGACCTGCTATCCTAAAACTTAAATTATTTGCATTCTTTACTGGATTTTAAAGAGATTCAAAAATATGTTTTTCTATTTGTTATTATAGCTTTCTATTTGTTTATGTCCATGTAAATCTTTTAAAATGAAGCACTAAGCCCATTTTGTCATTGACTTTCTTGTGCTATTAAAACGTACACTTCTGCAAAACATATAATTCTATAAATCTAAAAGCATATTGATGTCTATGCCTACATTAAAGTTTCCTTAATAAAAGTTAATAACTTAAAAAGAACCTCAAAGAATATTGTTTTTGGGAGTACATGTACAGTACAGTATTTTATAGCTCTAATCTTTTCAATGCAAAATGCTTTAATTTATTCTAGTGTTATAATCTTAAGAGTGTTAAAATAATGAATATTTATTACACACACAAAACACTTTTCAGCACCTACAGTTTATATATCTTATCCTAAAGTTGAAAAATAATGTGCCAAAGCAAATTCCTTCCAGACATGAGTGTTTTTCATTTTCATTTTTACTTCCACAGCTTAATAATTATTTGATGTTGGTGTTATACAAAGGGTGATGGAAAGGATGTTCAAACTCTATTACAGATCTGTGTAAGGTGCTCCTAGGACCTCCCACCCTCCCCATAATGAAGGCACTAAACATACTGTATATACTCCTCAGGAGCTGCTGCTAGCAATTTTCTTAATCTCCACATTTATGCATTTTTATAAACAAGGTACATGATAATAAAAAGTGATGTGGTCACTGGACTTGAAACCTTCACAAAGTGTATGAATGTTAATGGTATAGAAGGCCATTCTATACCATTCTATACAAGGATACAACTACACCATCATTTTAACTCACTTAAGTCTAAAATCTAAACATGTCTTTAATGTTTCTCAACAGGATATCTTTTGGATATCTTTATACCTGTTACTGAAAACAGCTGTTTGTAAGTTGTTTGAAGAGTGCCTTTTTTCTAGTGCCATTTAGCATCTATACTAGTATTATTAAAATTCATATTGCATAGGCTTTATATAGAACAAAACACACTCTTCACAAGATGGTAAGACTAATGTGACAAATAACAGAGCCTGGAAAGAATTTCTCCAATTAGTAATAATAGGTCTTTAGAGGAACTATGTAGCACAAAGAGTATCACAACTGATATAAGGTGTCAGATTAAGTATGATGTAGTAAACACTCCAAATGACATGATCCATAAAGGCATAAAGGATTTGCAATCAATGGAACAGAAAACTGTTTTTTTTTTAAATGACATGAAAAATAAAAATTAGCAAATTAAATTATGTTAAACAGAACAAAAATACAAACTGAAAAATTCTCCAGGCTCTTTCATCATAATAATCTGCCATGAGGAAAGGTTAAATGAGATGAAGTAGATGAAAATGACAAAAATACAAAAATGTATAACATTTAAACCAGAAACAAAATGGGATTAAAAGCTATAATCAGGAAAGCGGTATACAGATGCAGCCATTCAAAGTGAGCGGTACAGACACGTACCGCAGGTAATTGGCTGCGGTGTCGCGAATCATGACGTAAGATGACGCGGTGCGTGATTGGTTGACCGACAGCGGCACTCGTGGTCCGTTGGTCTGTCGTAGAAAGACTTACTGTAAACGTCTTTACTTTGCCCGTTGTAGATATTGAATTTTACCACTGAAGGGAAATCTTACTAGCTGAGCATAAAAAGAATAGGAGCATACTGTAACGCGTGTGAAGGCCATAAACGATATTAATTTTGGAACATAAACATACAGTATAT